TGAATTTGTTGACCTCTATTTTCGAATTTATTAAATCAAAGTTGATTCATTCGTTGTATTCTGTAGGGAAGATTGGAAAAAAAAGAAATTTTTTTTTTGATTAAATGATGTCACGATTATATTTTGTATCCATTCTAAACATGAAAAAAATAAAAATTGTTTTTTATTAAAATCGAACTTACAAAAAAGACTCTTTTTCTCGATATAACAACAAATAACTACGATAACAGTCATGATCAGCCATCTCAACCATGTATTTATTCAATTTTTCATTCGCTTTTTATGTTAACCAATAAGAAAATTCAACAGGATTCTCTTTGGATTACAATGATAAAAGCTGTTTTTTTTAGCAGATTTATTTGAAATAATAATGACGTCTACTCTATTTCGACGTTTTCCATCGAATATTGTTGGTACAATTCTACGTAGAAATGTTAATGTAAGTTCAATTTCAGAAGTGATCCAAGACACTCCACGTTGACGAGAGGGAACGTCACGATTTTCTAGAAGGATGTAGAGATTTTTTTTTTTTACTTAGAAAACATATGACAAAATTTCGGCTTTGCTAGGAAAAAACAAAAAAATTATCTTGATTGAAACGTGTCATATCCCTATCATTGAGTCATGCTTGTTTTATTTATTTCGAATATATTTCTTTTGATTATATATTTATTTATTTATTTTTCTAGCAAATAAGAAATGCTTCATCAATAGCTGTAAGTGAATATTAAAGAAAAGTCTTTTTTTTTCTCTTCAAATTCTATTATTTATATTTTAAGACTACTGCAGATAAAATCACCGAATCTCATAAATATCATGTAACTGTTGTACCAGGTGATGGTGTTGGACCAGAATTAATGTTATGTGTACGTGAAGTATTCAATGCAATTGGGGCACCAATAGAATTTGATGAATTACTTGCAAGGTTTGATTTCAATGATATTTAAAAAGAATCTTTTTTTCTCTTATAATTTAATTAATTTTAGTGAATTAATGCCTGGTCGATCATCATCACTTGCTGATATAGTTGCTTCATTTAAACGTAATCGTGTTGGAATGAAAGGCATATTAACAGTACGTAGTTCATCTATATTATTTTTTATTTCCAAAAAGAAAATTATATGACGGAATATTTTAGACACCAGCTATTAGTGAAGGTGGAGATTTAATGTCATTGAATATGAAGATTAGGTATGAAAATAAAATATTCTGAAGAGAAAAAATTGTTTCTTTTTTTCTTAATGTAGACGTGCATTAGATCTTTATGCTAATGTTGTTCGAATAAAAACTGTACCTGGACTTAAACTTCGTCATCAAAATGTTGATTTTATTGTTATACGTGAACAAACTGAAGGAGAATATAGTGCACTCGAACATGAAGTAATCTAAAAATATTGGATGTTTATTTTTTCTTTTATGCTATAAAATCAATATTTCTTTGTCGTTTTAGTCTGTTCATGGTGTTGTTGAATCATTAAAAATTACAACTTATGAAAATTCAAGACGTATTGCTAAATTTGCATTTGATTTTGCAACAAAATTTAATAGAAAAAAGATTACTGCTGTACACAAAGCAAATATAATGTTCAGATTCTTTTATTTTATTTTTCATATTTGCTAATTTTTTCTTTTTTTCGTTTTTTTTCTTGTACAATGTAGGAAACTTGGTGATGGTCTTTTTCTTGAATCATGTCGTGAAGTAGCAGCATTATATCCAAATATTAAACTTGACACAATGATTGTTGATAATACATGCATGCAATTAGTTTCTAAACCACAACAATTTGATGTACTTGTCGCACCAAATCTTTATGGAAATATTGTATCTAATTTAGCTGCTGGATTAGTTGGAGGAGCAGGAATGGTTCCTGGAGAATCTTATTCAACTGATGTTGCAATTTTTGAGCCGGTATGTTGATTCAAAAAAAATTTAATATACATATATCTCCATGAGTTACAATTAGAGCAGCTACAAAGGAGAAAAGATAGTCTCATTCTTGACCTCAATAAGAATCAGAAATAAATCGAGATATACAATGACTGGTCCCACACATGTTTGAAATCTCACATAGTTTTCTTTATAATAGCAAGAAAAGTTAGTTCCTTCAATAAACAATCAGTTTAAGACGTGAAACACGAGTGAGTTGACTTGTTTATAAAATATCAACGTGTAATTTTCTAAGTTTTCATGAGAATAAAACTAAACCAATATGGACAAAATTTTACCTAATTGGCTATTTGCCTGAATTTCTTGAAAACTGTATTTCTATGGAGTTATCGAAATACTTTAAGTGTGACTATTGAATGAGATTTGTATATCTTTTATGTAGTTAATCATTGTGAACAAGCAGTGGTTACTCCATGGTAACTATGAGTCAAATAATAAAGATCCCATCTATGTATGACTCGAGTCAAGAACTCAGATGCATGATGTATGACTATTTCTAGTCGAGATATCCCAGAGAATGGAAAAAGGTTGAAAGTAGGTATGCGATGTTCAGATTCGATGGTTAGATTTTCTTGATTCCGATGAGAAACGTCTATGGCCAAGGAGAACTGATCTTCGTATTCCTTCTTCTAAGTTCCTTTCATCTTTCCAATTTTTTGCCGGTAGTAAACAACATAATTTTTCCAATAGTCTCGCTCATTTATTCTGTCGATTTCAAAAAATAGTAACATTAATATCAATAGTATATAATTTCGAATCAAAAATATATTATACAAATCAGTGTAAATAATGAATTTTTATTTTAGGGTGCACGACATCCATTTTTAACCGGTGCTGGTCGAAATATTGCTAATCCAACTGCAATGTTATTATGTGGAGTTAATTTACTTCAATATCTTCATCTTGGTAACTATATATAAAAATTTTTCTATTTTGTATATTCTTTCCTTGTCTCAATTACTTAGATGCCATGGCTCAAAAAATTGAAAATGCTATTGCAACTGTTATTAAACAACAACGCATAAAAACACGTGATATCGGTGGTTATGCAACACAACAAGACTTTCTCCGTAGTGTTCTTCAACAACTTGGATGTTAGTTGAGAATATATTTATAATCTTATATGAGAACAAAAATCAACCCAGCTTGATATTAGTAGTGTTTGTTTTTTTCTTGTGTTTTTTGTTTTTTATTTCATTTTCTATTCTTTTTTGTTTGTCTCGTGGACAAATATATAAATTTATTTTTGCCTCATTCAGTCACAGAAAACAAATAAAAATTCAAGTTTTTCGTTGTTTTAGCAACTAAGATTAAATGTAGAGTTTACGTGAATCAGTTCCATTTTGTTTCTTTAAGAATTGACTTAAAAAATAAAATCATCATTGAAATCAAATCATTTGTTTCGATACAAATCAATCATAAACTCTGCATTATCCATAGAATGTGATTGTATGAATTGTACTTATTTCAAACACATTATTTTTAAAAATTTATTTTTCTCATACAAATTTATCTTTAGTTTTTGAAAGAAAATTCATTGCTGATTTTTTTCTCTTGACTATTTCTTTTCGATTCTAAAAGAGAATTTGATCTTCAAAGGAAATAAAAAAATAAAGGAATCTTAAAAGTTTCATTCTTAGCCTTATCGTATGCTATTAGAGAAGATCAATAAGATTCGTTACTTCTAATTTTATAGGGAAACCGATGACACATCTTTTTAAAAAGATTCCAAGAGTTCGTGATTAAACTCTGCTGAAGTATTTACAAAATATTTGATGTTGCAATCATTTTGACTGGTTCGATATATCTAAATGTAAACCAATTATTTCCAATCGAGTGTGACTAATATCATTTGAAATGAAGAGAATTTCATTCTTTTTGTATAGTTAATAAACTTAATCATATATTGAAGTACATAAAAGTAAATTGACAATTGAGAGTAATTCTGTAGGCGAATTTTTATCAGTAAATAATCTTTTTTTTAAGACCGAAAATCGATATTCGTAGTTCTATATAAATGTTGATATTATTCCAGAAGCATAACTCAACCATGGAGGTCAAGAAAAGAGCGTTCTGTATGAACAACTTTCAAAAGTAGATGAAAGTTCTGTGGATAAATTTCAGAAGCACGAGAGAACATCACGCTCATGCATTTTTCCATAAGACATGGTAATATTGATAATTCAGTATTCCGTTAATAATTAAAATTAACACTTAAACATTAAATTACATAAAATTTTAGTGAATGAATTCGTTACCTAAGAAAAATTGTTCATTTCTATTTGGACATTGGAATATTTGTTTTTCAAATGCTCATCTAAAAAAAAAGGGCGGATCAGTATTTTTCGACTAACTTTTGATTGAAAAAAGATAGAGAGCTAAGATTTTCATCGTTGAACATTGGAAATGAAGCTGCATCGAATTGTATATTACAAACTTTTGAACTTGGTTTTTTCAAAGATTTTCAATCGAGTTTTTTTGAAAACTAACGTAATCTGTAAGGCAACTACAGTAAATTTTCAATTATCAGGTACACCGTCGAACCACCAATTGAAGATCTTAAAAACTACGTAAATCTCAGATTTTTATATTCAATCGTTCAGAAGTTATAGATATTCTATTCAAAACTCACAGCTGATTGTTCAAGCGATTGCTGGAAAAAGAAATCACCTTTGTGCCTTTTCTTATTCTACAATGAACCTTTTTCTGACCCGTTTTATTTGAAAACTTGATTAGAAAAATATCAGAAGACATTTAAGGAAAATCTATAAAATATGAGTCCATGAGACTTCATCTCGTCTATTCAACAATGAAAGCCACAGTATTCTATCTTAGAGTTTATTCAAAAAAGAATAATCTGCTTGTTTTTTTGAAATGAGTATGAGTACCAAGAATAATTTATTTCCCATAAGGATTAAATTAGATTTTACTTCAGCAAAAAAAAACAAAGAAGAAATAATATTCGATAAATAAAAAAACATGCCCTTGATTTTCCACATATATTGTTTGTTTCCTTTTATTTTATTCAATCAAGAATAAGTCTGAAAATTAATTATACAGAAATTTTTTGACGAGAATATAATCGATGAATAAGAATACTAATTATAATACAAGTTAAAATACTATAAAATATAAACCATTGTCGAATATTTTGTCTAAATAATTGTTCTTCTTGTAAAGGTGTTAATGGTATTTGATGCTGTTGTTGTTGTGGATTTCGTTTTGTGAAATGTAATTTTCCATTACGCCAATAAAATCGATTTCGATGGGATCGAAATATAGAAAATATCATATAGAGAACCCAGAACATTTTATTCGATACTCTCAGTATGTGTGTGTCTTTTTTCAATAGATGATTTATGTATTTGGGAAAAGAAATGATGAGAAAACAGGTATTGTCGTTCTGTGCTTGTTTTTTTCTCTTTTCTTGTTCTACAATAACGATCGTGAGAAAAAAGAAATTCTACTTTTTTTTCTGACGAAGAACAACAACGTTATAGACAAGATTCTTTTTCTTTTCCTTTTGTGTATTGAATTCAAAATTATTTTTCTTTGTTTTTTTAATAGCTTGGAGAAAGTACACAGTTATGTGCACAATCAAGTTTTTAGAGCTATAAAAATATTATGAATGATATTCTTTTTTTGTAAATAAAATTTCGATTCTAGGGAAAAAAGTGCGATGAAATAGTTTTATCAATCAATATAAAAAAGTAGAGGACGCTATCGAAAAGAAAAGCAAAATATAATTGTTTTGGCTTGTTGTCAGGGGTATTGAAGTATCATTTGATAAAAATATAATCAGCAAGATAAACTAAATAATACGGATAGATTCTCAAAATGATCATTCCGGTCGTGCTAAATTAGGTATGCACCAGTCCAGTCGGACTGGGTACCAGTCGGACTGGCTACCCAGTCCGACTGGATACCCAGTCATGACTGGAACTGGTGCATACCTATGCTAAATGAAGCATTACTACATTAGTTTTTACTGTATTTTCGTGTAATCTTTCAATACATCTTCTCGATAGCAAGTGATCATTGTTTCTTGTACTATTTTCACTGGTTTATATCGTTTACGGAGTCATTTTCTTAGACTTGAGACGAAAACATATGAACTTAGCTATATAATGCAAATACCATAAAATACTACGTACTCAAATCTACGCCCGTCTTGACTCGATGGCTTGCCGATAACACGATTGACTGAATTGTCAACATGAAAAAACTTCATTTCCAATGGCTGCTCAAGATTTATTGCTGGTCATTTTCTTTACTTTATATAATAGCAACGTAATTAGTAGTGAATATTTTGCATTGAAAAATTTTCATACTGGAAAAACGAATATTCTACTTACGAGCTCTCGATACTTAAAATTTACTTTTTAAGACGTTTCTGTGTTGGTTAAATATATTGAAGTATAGAAATGAATTCCTTTAATATTTAATTCAATAATAGTTTTTTTATTTTAATATAAATTCGGCGCTCTTACATATTTTGCTTTCATCTTCTTCCTTTCGTTGTCTAACTTAGAAATATTATTTCAGTAGCTTAAGTTGCTACTCTTCTATGTTTATTATCTTTTAGTGTTTCTATTCGATTGAATTTCAATCTATTTAATTAATTCTTCATTATGCTTGGTAATAAAAAATATTTCATTTCTTTTGAAAAAAAAAATAATTATCCATATATTTCAAATATATAGATGTCATGACACCATATCAATCAATATTTACTGATCGTAATGAGCCTGATTCAGATGCTATTGAAATGTTTTGTGGCCAAATACCCCGTACAATGTGTGAAAATGAATTACGAATATTATTTGAACGTTATGGACAAATTTATAAATTAAATATTTTACGTGATAAACAAAGTGGTGAATCAAAAGGTTGCTGTTTTGTAACATATTATACACGTAAAGCTGCACTTAATGCACAAAATGCTTTACATAATTTAATAATATTACCTGGTATGCATCATGCTATACAAATGAAACCAGCTGATATTGAAAATCGTAATGAAAGGAAAATTTTTATTGGTATGATATCAAAGTTATGTAATGAAGATGAAATAAAACAATTATTTAAACCATTTGGTATAGTTGAAGAATGTACCGGTAGGTGGGTGATTTATAATGTATATTTTATTTATTTATTGTATTTAATTATCAAATAAAATAAATAATATACAATGCAAAAGTCTTTGCAAAAAAATGACGAACTCTGCTAGATCATAGGACTAACTTCTAAAACAATGATTTGCTTTTGGGTTACCAGAAGTAATCTTTGAACTACAAATTTTGTACCAAACATAATTTTTCAGAACGAATCAATAAAGCAAGAGAAGTCACAAGTGAAACATCTCTTGAAAAATTTTTATCTCTCAGCTATATGGACCAAATTCTAATAAACAAAAAATAAACCAAAATATAATACATCAAAAGCTCTATCAATATTAACTTTGATAAATTTTTTAGATCCGATTTTAACTCTTCAATTGTAAAAGTTTGGAAAATTGAAATTATTGTAAACTAGAGCTTTTTGCAAGAACCATCGCTTAGGAAGAACATCAGCCACAATATCCAAAAACCATGCATGGACTGCATTCTTTGTTCATTACGTATTCAAAATATGTCATATCATAAGAACTTACAAGGACACTTCTCTAGATGTCAAATTATTTTTCGACCGAGATGATATTCATTTTGATCAGTATTACTGATTAATAGAAAAGTCTAGAATGGCTTGGTTTTCTGAGCCTTGGTTCATGAGATATACTAGAAAGGTTACAGTTTGTCCAAAAAAGATTATCACATTCAGCGTTTTTTTCATGCAAAGTTTGAAGCCAAAAATAGATTTAAAATGTGACCTGAAGGGAGCAGAGATTTTTGTTGAAAAACCTAGTAAAGTTCTGATATCTCAAGAATAAAGACTCGAAAAAACAAACCATTCTAGGCTTTTCTATTACTCTCTAGTACTCATCAAAAGAATATCGTTTCGGTGGATTTGGTATTTCAGATGTTACTCTTCTAACAAAAAAAACAAGATTTCATTGGTTTAGAAGTTAGCAATATGGATTAACTGAGTTTGACTTCTGTTGTCAAGACTTTTGCATTGTATGTTGTTGAATATTGTTTGTATATTTGTTTTTATTCTAGTACTTCGTGACTTAAATAATCGATCACGTGGTTGTGCATTTGTAACTTATCAAAAACGACAATCAGCTTTAAATGCAATTAAAACTATGCATCATTCATATACAATGGATGGTTGTTCATCTCCAATAAATGTTCGTTTTGCTGACACACCTAAAGATAAAGAAATTAGAAAAATGCAACAAAAACTTAATGAAAATCTTCTTCAACAAATAGCAACAAATACATCGTCAATAACAAATAAAACAAATGGAAATTTAACTTCATTAAATCTAATGCTTTTTAATCAACTTTATTCAAATACAGTTAAACGTATTAATGAAGAAAAACAGCCATCATCCTATTCGAATAATAATGATTTATCTTGTGGAGATAATAATAAAAATCATCTATATTCAAATTCGACTAATTTAACATCAAAATTAACTAATAACCAACAATATGGTGCATTGCCAACATTTTCACCTTTGATTACTGAAGTATTGTTGTGAAACTTAAAAAGATATAAAGTATTCTTTCTTTGATAGTGGCAAAGTATCGAAGCTATTAGACAGTATCCACATACGGTAAACAATCTAGTTTCTGGTGTCAACGAGATCACTGTTGAAAATAATGGAGTTACCACAAATGCATCATTATTGTATGGTGGAGACCAAAGTACAGAACAACAACAGATGACTAACAATAAAGGTTTGAATTTTGAATATTTTTCTAATTTTATACAAGAACTTTAAGAGCTTCTTAAATTAGTTTGTTCTGTAATTGTTGTGTTTTTCAGTAATGATCCATGTTTCCAAGGATTCGATTAGAAAATTTAAATAATTCGTTTTTAAGCTAATCAATCATTGATATTTTTCATTAAAAGTTAATCCTTTCGAGATGAAAAACGCATATAAGTGTTTCCCTTGTCAAACCGATTTAAAGATATTGATATATACCACTTAACATTAATCTAATTGGCATTACTCTACGATTAAGGACGAGCAACACGATCAGTTTTTGAAAGATCAATAGTGCTAATTAAAAATAAAAAATAATTTACTTTAACTAATTCTATGTTTTGTTATTTTACTTTTCGAAGAAAAATCTGAAAGCATGTTCTCGGAGATGAAGAAAAGCTTTAAAAAAGATATTAATTCTTATCACTAATTTTTATTCGATTCTATTCTAGATGTTCTGTCAACACCAACTAACTTGCTCATCAATACAGAGATAAATCCATGTATATGGCCTAATCCAACAGATGATGATCTTCGTCTATTGGATGGTTTCTTATCACCAACAACAAATGGAATATCCAATATTCCTAATCTTTCATTAACAAATCATGATAATTTTCCATCATTGATTACTTTAAAGAATCAACAACAGAATAATAATAATTCAATGAATGATGAAAAGCAATTAGTTGGACCATTAGGTTCTAATCTGTAAGTATATAGAAGAAATTTAATTATAAAATCAAAAAAAAAAGAGAAAAAAAAATCTATATGAAGTTTCATTTATCATCTGCCATCGGAATTTACTGATCATGATTTAGCACAAACATTTTCTCCATTTGGTAATATTCTATCAGCTAAAGTAATTTAATTATTTTAAAAAAAAGCCTTGAATATTTTGTTTTTTCTTTTTTTCTCTTAAAAGATTTTTATTGATAAATTAACAAATCGAAGTAAATGTTTTGGTTTTGTTTCATATGATAATATTCAGTCAGCTCATCAAGCAATAAAACAAATGAATGGTTTTCAAATTGGTTTGAAACGATTAAAAGTTCAATTAAAAAAAACTCGTATTCAATAAATTTATATATTTTATTTTCTTTGTTTCAAAATTCGAATATATCATTATATTTTATGGCAAGCTTTTCATTCTATTTTATACATTAAGTAATACAGATAAAAATAGAAAGAAGAAGAAAAAAAAAGTTTATTTTTCTAAAAACGATTCGATTTAATAACATCAATTGGTTTACGATAATCATAAATTGATGGTGCTAGAAAACAATTAAAAACAAAAATTAGAATCTTTTCTTTTTCTTTTTCTTTTTCTTTTTTAATTTTCTACCTTGTAAAATGATTCCACATGTACCAGCAACACAAGCTGTTGTAAATATATAAAGAAACAGACGATCAATTACTAATGCAACAAATTTCCATTCTTCTTTAACCTAAACAGAAAAAGAAAAAGTAAAATAAAATAAATAAATAAATAAAAAAATTTTTTTCATTTATGCAATTTTTCTACTTTTTTTTCTTCATCTTCTATTTTCATATGTGTTGCAATGCATTTTAAACCATCAAATGCTTTTTTTATTTCATTTGGATAAAGTGATGGTTCATTTGAATATTCAATAGGCTTTCTTTCATTAGTAGTATTATTATCATTATCATTATCATCACTATCATTAATTATTTCAATACCATCTTGCTCTAAATCATAATCATCAAGTAAACGTATCTTATTTTTACGTATTTGATATGGACTTGAACTACGTAATGGTGAAACAAAATTCTTTGTTGGTGTACGATTTGATTGTTTAGTAGGATGATGATTTATTGATGATAAATGATAACTTAATGGATTAATTGGGTTTGGTCGAGGCATCCATAATAATTTTGGTAAAACATGTAAAAAAACTCGTCGGACCCATGGAGGCATTCGATGTGTTGATGGTGAACGAAAATGTATATTAAGTACAACAACAGTTACAACAATAGATAATGTAACAAGAATCATTGTAAATAAAAGATATTTACCAATTAATGGTACAACAAGTGATGTTGGTGGAATGAGTTCAGCTAATAGTAGAAAAAATACAGTTAATGAAAGTAATATTGATATACACAGTGCCACTTTTTCACCAGAATCAGATGGTAAATAAAATGTTAAAACAGTTAAAAATGATATACCAACACATGGTATTATTAAATTAACAGTATAAAAAAGTGTTTTACGACGAAGTGTTATTAAAAATGTTATATCCGGATATGTTTGAGGACAACATGTATATTTTTGTACATTACGTTTAGCTGGAACTTCCATTATATCCCATTCAACTGAACGATAAAAATCAGTTAAATCGATGGCATATGGTACACCTATAAAGAAATCAAAATTATCAATCCATTCTTTAGATAATAAAAAAAAAAGTCGAAGAACTTTATTGAATAAATTTATTTTAATGTTCCCGAAAACTTTCAATTGTTTTATATCCAATGAAGTTAGATAAATATAATTCTTAAACAAAAATTTTTGAATTATTATCTACGAACTCTAGTTACATATTTTATTTCATATTTATCCCATATGAATATTCTTACTATTATTTCCATAAACAGGTATTGAACCATTTGTTTGATTGATATGAACAAGATCAACTTGTTCACCTGAATATGTCCATGAACCAAATTTCATTTGGCAATGTTGAATATCTTAATAGACGAAAAAACAAAACAAAAATAAGAAACTTTCTTAACTTTATCATGAAAAATATTTGTATTCAATCTTAAGACATAATAAGATTTAGTTTCAGTCTCATAAGACTCAAAGTTTCTACTGCATATTCAGATAAGGTTTTTCTTTCTTCATTTTCTTGTTATTTAATTTCATTCCCATATGATCATCAAACAAGTATCATTTTCATGTTATAAAAATTTCTACTAACCAAATGGAAAAAATTCAACATTGATTGTACAACTCGATTTGTATATTGCTGGTGGCTAATATAAAACAAAAAAGAGAAATAATTAAAATAGAACAAAAGTTTTCAATGTCACCTCCCAAATAACACGACCATCATAATAAACAGTAGCTTTCGTCATTAATGTTACTTCATAATTACCATCAGCACTAAAAGATTTTAATATTATAAATAATTATTATTTTTGTTTTTTTTTTGTGTTAATTTAAATTATTTTCCAAGCAAAATAAAAAAAAAAGATTTTTCGTTATTACATGCAAAATGTGCATATAATCAGATGCAAAAGAGAACAGAAAACAAGGATTACTACGAAATGAAAATAACACCAACTTATTAAAAAGCACCAAATCTGGTCGCCATAATTCACTAGCCGGAATAGAGATGTTGGTGAGATTATTGAAATTCATTGGATCCCATTTTAAATGTTCATCGATCCATAGCTAAAAATGATTAGTTTATTAGGTAATTTTGTTCTTTTGTTTTGTTTTCATATATATATGTAGATATAGATATTATATATATACATATCATTATAATTAACTATTTTGCAACTATAGTAACAGAATCTGTCTATTGATGTCAAATCTCTTGACGGATGTGTGTGTGTTTTCAACGCTTGCATGTCGTTTGGATAATCTATTCTTGTCAACAATGTTTACCCATAACTATCAGACGCGTTGATGGACAGAACAACAAATTCTCATGGAACGCATGCGTGCAAAAAAGAAATCCGTCTATCATCTTATACATAAGATATAGCACGCGTGTACCTAAGCGTGCATAAAAATCAAGAAAATGACAAGCAACAAAATAAAAAAAAACAACAGAATAGAGTTTGTTATATTCTCATGTCGACACTTCATTGCCATTGTGTCAATTATGATAATAATGATACTATGTGAATATATGTATAGATATATATATATATGTGTATAGAAAGGTTATGTGATAAAAAAACTTATAAAAAAAATGAAACAACAGAAGGTAAAATAATAATAAACAAATATTTTTTCTACTTGAAGTGATTGTGTTTTATAAAAAAAAAAATAGTAAAGAATATAGTGCAAGAATACGAATAACAACATCCAATCACAACATAAATATGATTACTTGTTGTACAAAACAATGTCAGGAAGCCAGATTTGTTGGCTCGGAATGTAGAGTACATCGACGCCTCCATATTTGGTTGGATCCCATCGAAGTTTATCGTCGTACCACTCCTACTCATGCATGCACTCCTTTTTTTGTTTACTCTGGGACTCTATCTTATATGTATGGTACTAGCTAATACCCTTTATGATCTTACCTGTTTGAGCCAAACATTTGTTGTCATTATTTGATTTTTTTCGTCCTTTACAACAAAGAAGAAAAAATATTTTCTGACTTTAATATAAATAAAATTGTCATACCACATCAAGTAATTGTGTTAATCGAAGTCCCAAATAAACAGTTAATTTTTCACTATTATGTTTGACTGGACGAATTAGTTTATTATAGGCACGTACTTGAATCAGTTCTTCATACAACCGTTTTGCGTCAGGATTAGCAAGAGTAACTATTTGACATCAATAAGAAAAACAATTAATATATATTGAAAACTTACCACCAACGAAGCACCAATAAATATGGAATATTAATGATATGATAATACTTGTCTCCATGCATCGAGCCGAATTTGTTTTTTTTTGTTTTTATTATTAATATGATCTATTCATTAATCGTAAAACACAAAATCAAAGATTTTGCTTATTTCTTTGTTTTGTTTTATTTTGTTACTATTGATGACGAACAACTACTATATTCTATCTTGTGCTACTCTCATTTATATGTCTTCTGATAATGCGGCAATGATGATAGTTGAGTACCATTGCCAACACGCGTATATTATATGAGTGAATAAACACATCACTTTGTTAATTTATGCTTTTCTTCTTTATTCTCTTTTTTTTTGTCTATATTGTGCTTGTTTAAGACAACATATGTTTTGACTTAGATCAGCTTTTTTTTCTATCATTGCTCCAATTTCTAGTTCTCTCTCTCTTATCATTCTAAGAAATGATAAGAAAAATCTTTCATCATCATTGTCTCAATGCCAGAAACATACGCGCAGAATAACACATATTGAATCTGTATTTTTATGAGAAATAAGACGTTTATGCGTACAGAAAAAAGATTCTACCATAGCCGAATATATGTATATGACTATATCAGAAACGATATTTTGAATATTGCACCAGTTAACTTCGAAAAAAACTCTATATATATATATGTACGTATATATATATATATAAGTAGAGCATGCGTATGTGCATGTTTCTACTAATGGAATAGTCAATATAGATAAAAAACACTTGGTGCAAGAAACAAAAAAAAAACGAACAAAGAAGAATATGTTTTTTTCTCATCATTCTGTGCTTGATTGAGAAGAGGAAAAAAAGCGAGACAAGACAAAGGAGATGACGCGTGCAAATTGGACAATGGCATGAAATAATCTTGTTGTGTGTTACAGTATATATATATACAATGTACAAATTAGACTACCCGTTGACATACATAAGAAAATATGAACAATTGTTATAGCAATAGATACACAATTATATTTTACTAAAAGAAGCAACTGATGCTGATTGTTGCTATTATCGAAGCCAATTAGATTCTTGCTGTTACGACTAATGTTTGTCTTTGCCCATTAAGATCATTTGCGTATGTGCACAAATTTTTGCCGCTCACTTGGCCTTTTTTATTAAAGATCTGATGAGAAAACGATGCGTAAGATATTGCTCGAAGTATATTGATATATATTGCAACCAATTAGATTCTAACTGTATAAAGTAAAATGTGACAGAATTTGTTTTTCTTCTTTCTCTCTTATTCATCTTCATATAGATAATAATCGTTTGTATGTGAACTATTGAAGTGAATAATATATGTTCGTTAACTATTCATACATACTTATCCTATAACGATATTAGAAACGAGACGAATGAATTTCACTTGTTGTTAAACGGAAGAATAGATGCGTAGATGATCGGAATCGATCGAATAAAATCGATCTCATGCTTATTTTTATTTAATGCAGTCATAAAAAAATAACCTGTCCTCTCTCTCTCTCTCTAGATTCTTAATAGTTTGAATCGAATATTTTGTTTCCTATCAATCTCTCTTAAGATATTCAATAATTATTAAGCAGCAGATGTTAATATAATTTGTCACAGATGAAGAAACTTTCTTACCTTGAGAACAGATTTCTTTTTTTGTCTGTTCTTTTCCTAATCGATTAGTATGTATACATGTATGTGTAGTTTCTATTCAACAAAAAAAATCAACTAGTGCTATCAAATGGCCTCGGGATAAAACTTTCAGGTCTTTCTGTTTGTAGCATCTTCTCTTCTTTCTCTCTTCTCTTCTCTTCTCCTAGCTTCTATGTCTATTGAGAAATGGCAACAGCAGGAAGAGAAGCAGAATAAGAATAACACTGATGACATTATTTCGACTAGAGTCCTTTCTCTTTTCTATTCTCGATTTTCTTTGTCTCTATCTCTCTTCTTTGGTCTCTAACTAAACAAGGCTTCTTTTATTCAGTCGTCGCTTTTATATTTTTCTTTTAGAAGTCTACGATTCATTTACATTCGATTAGAACTTTTTATATCAAGCTTATATATATATATCTTTTTTTCCTAAAAGAAAAACAAAACTTGTACTCATACGATTTTCATGTACAAAGTCTTTATTCTTTCTAGTGATAAATATCAACTATATCTATTTGTCATCGTTGTGTCAATGTCGTTCTCATATTGGCTACTATTCATTCTATTCCATATACTACTCTTGATCAAAGACAGTAAGATATTCTTTTCAAGATATATCAACATATAAATTTGATTTTTTATTTTTTTCTTAAATTAAATTTCTAGTTTATAGTTCATATCACGAAGAACAATTATTTAAAGAATTATTTCAAAATTATAATCCATTAATTCGTCCTGTACGAAATGTTGAAGATACTATAACTGTATCATTTAGTATAGCTTTATTACAATTAATAAGTGTAGTTGAAAAAGAACAAGTACTTAAAACAAATGTTTGGTTACAAGTAGTATGTATAATGAAATGAATCGAATGAAAGATTGTGACATTTATATTTCTTTTCTTTGTTTTAGGGATGGTACGATTATCAAATGCAATGGAAACGAGAAAAATATGGTGGCATTAGTTCAATACGCGCACCACCAAGTCAAGTTTGGACACCTGATGTGAGTTATGAGAAGATTTATTAATGATTTTTCAAAGAAACGAATAAAATATTTAGATTGTTTTATTCAATAATGCTGATGGGAAATATGAAGTATCATTTAAATCTAATGTTGTTATTTATTATAATGGCTATGTGAATTGGGTACCTCCAGCTATATATAAATCAAGTTGTTATATTGATGTAAAATTTTTTCCATTTGGTAAAAGAAAGAAAAAACAAAAGAGAAATAACATAATTCATCTTTTATCTTCTCAGATAAACAAATATGTGAATTACGTTTTGGTTCATGGACATATGATCAAAAACAATTAAATTTTACTTATTATGAAGAAAAAATACAACATGTTACAATAAAAGATTATGTTGTTAGTGGTTCATGGGCTCTTCTTGATGGTCCTATGACTATTCAACAATCATCATATGCACCACCGACAAATGATGGTAATGATACAAGTGATTCAATAGGAACTATAACAACCGCTCGACTTGAAAAAGCTGAGGGACGTGATCGTGTTGAATTTGTATGTAAACTTGTAATAAAACGTAAAACACTTTTTTATACAGTCAATTTAATTATACCAACGGTAAATTATTTAATTAAGATCATAGCAATTATTTTTTTAATTTCTAAATTTTTTTAGGTGCTTATTTCATTTTTATCAGTATTCGTTTTTTATTTACCTACAGATGCTGGTGAAAAAATGACATTATCAATCTCAATTTTACTTGCACTTGTTGTGTTTCTATTACTTATATCAAAAATTTTACCACCAACATCTATTGTTATACCATTAATAGCTAAATATCTTTTATTTACATTTATTATGAATATAATAACTATATTTTTTACAGTTGTTATCATTAATTATAATTATCGTACACCACGTACGCATAAGATGCCTTATTGGATAAGACGTGTTTGTATTGATATATTACCACGTATACTTCGTATGGAAAGACCAAAAAAATATGAAATCGATGATAATTTACAATCAGCAGAAGCTGATAGAGAAAAGCAAACAATATTAAATTATATTCAAGCATCACGTGCATTATCTATAGCATCACCAACTATGATGAATAATAATCATACAAATCCCAAAAATTATCATGATCAATCATTAGAATTAAAACCACGTCATTTATCAAAAAAGAGACATCATCATCATCATTATCGACATTCATCAAAACGACGCAACCAACAATCAGAGCAGCAACAAAATATTAATCAATCATCAACAACCACCGATGATGATGAAAATAATTTAACACCACAAGAGGTTGATATTTTATTAACAAAAGAAGCATATGAAGCAGCAGAAGATTTAAGTTTTATTGCAAATCATATGCGATCAGCTTGTCATTATGAAGGGGTATTCTTATGAGAGAATTATTAATATTAATTTAAATCTCTTTTTTTTTGTTTCCTTTTTTTCTTTTTCTTTTTAGATTCGCGATGATTGGAAATATATTGCATCTGTAATTGATCGATTACAGTTATTTATTTTCTTCTCTGTTACTGCTGCTGGTACATTAAAAATTTTATTTGATGCACCGGATATTTTAAAAGTTATCGATGAAAATGCTTTATTGAAAAAGTGGGATCCTAAATTTGGTACTAACAGTTAACTTTCCTCTGATCTTTTGCTTATATATGAACGCATTATTTTTTTTTTGCAATGTCACGAAAAAAACAATGAACTTACATTTTTTTTGTATATTGTGTATGATGAAAGATTTATTTATCTAATGAACTGACCGTTTATTATGCTCTTTTCTCTTGCTCTATTTGTTCCTCTCTTATTAATTTCCTTCTAATCGGGTTAGTTGTCTTTAATATTGCCTTCATTTCTAGCGCTCTCTTTAATCATGCAAATACTAAGATTAATGCTCCTCGTTCCATTAGCGTAGAGACAAATATTGGAACGCGTGTGTTTAGAAGATTTCCGTCACACGAGCATCTTTCCTTCTTTTTTTTTACTGTCGTTGCCATCGCTGTCGTCTTAATGATCAATATGTTTGTGCGTGTATGACACAATGATGATGAGTTGTTGCGCATGCTGATTTAAACAAAAGTCAACTAGCGAGTAGATCACAAAGTTTTCTTTGATAATATCACGTAAGATAACTAGCGGGTGGAAAAAAACACAAATGTATACTCATTTTCTTCTTAGTTCTCTTAATATAATTCAAGAGTTAAACAACTGTCTCTTGATTTTTGTCAATGTCACTAACTATATTGTTGACTAATTGAAATAGTTAGTCTATTATTCTTTTCATTATTTGATTCAATTCTTATAATTATCAAGTTCTATAAATAATTATTTCACATACATATGATAGTCAAAGAGAAGAAGAAAAGGTCATGTTTTAACTTAACCGAGATAATATAAAATATTAAAAAAAAGAAATAACTAAATTGTTTAAGTCAATGAATAGTTATTATATTTTAGATTTATTCAGATTGTTACAAGAGTATAAATAAGAATAGTTTATTTAATATCAAATACAAAGTAGAATTTTCGACATTTAATATTATTATATCAACAGATCATCATTACGTACAGATAACTAGATCTTCAAATGATAAGAATAAATCAACACCTAGTAAATATTTTTCTCAAGCTATCCTTTATTAAACTTACTTGATATATTAGCAATTAAATAAACTTGTGTTTTTCCTCATATTCATTATTGAAAACACTGATTTGATGATTATGTTATACACTAGATATCTTGTGATAGAATGTTTCTTTTCGATGAAGATATTTATTATTGATTATATGTCATTGCATATATTTATAGCAATTCATGTTTATGGTTTACTAGATGTTGATTTATTCTTGTCATTTGAAAATCTATTTATCTGTACTAATGATGACAGCTGACATAACAACAGACAAAGTCGAAAAATTTTACTTTTTTATTTGATGTTAAGTAGATTATTCATATTGCTGCATGCTTAATTTTTCTCAAGTTGTCTTTCATTAAACTTGTCCCAAAAGTAATCGAACATTAAGTTGACATGTAATGGTGTTCTATTCATATAGAGTATTCAAAGATACAGCTGATGTTTTCTCTTTTTTTTGATACAGATATTTCCATACTTTAGACGGTATGGATGTTAAGATAGTCGGAAGATATCTCAAATGATAGTATAAAATTTTTTCTTTTGACGAGAATCGGAACAAAGAAAAACGAGGAATCGACGTGGCAACATATTACGGAGTTTTCTTTCTTTTTATATTGTAACATTTATTTCTCATCAATGACAAAAACAAAATCTTTAAAGCTGTTACCTTTGATACAGACTATTTAGATCTACTATTAGTGAAAATTCTATTCAATTCTCTTTAGATAGAACTGAGCTATTTAGAAAATATTGATCGTTACGGCATTTCAAAAAAAAATGAAATTCTTTTGTTGATGAAGTTGAAACTTCAGCATTTCACTAAGGGATGAAGAGACATACAAATGAACTTTCTATATAAAAGTTATCCAATTTTGAAATGCTTTCAAAATATCAGTTCATTTCTTAACAAGGATAAGGGCATCAAATGGCAAACTAAAAATTGTATTCGCTACAGAACCTGATCCTTTTCTCAAAAATCGCAGCTTGGATCAGGATGACAGCAAAAGCAACCAGATATTTGTCACCAACATTGGGTTTCACATCAGATGGTGTATTTTGCATTAGAATCCAACGAAAAAAACAAAAACTTTCAGTGTTTTTATCCGAGAAAAATAAAATTTGAAATTTCAATTAACTAAATACTTCACTTTGTTCAGAATTCGATGTCAATTCGAAATACATGCATACTTATGAGCCAAAAAAAAACAATACAAAACGGTTTTAGTGGTCTAAAAAGCCATAAGATTTGGATATTAATAAAATTTCATGATGTAGTGTTTCTAGAATACGAATGTAAATATTAAATCAAACTGCGCTCTGAATGGAAGTGTTAGGTGGAACTTGTTGAATTCTACTTGCCGACATCATTTTTGCTGCGAAAATTAGCAACATAAGCAAGTCTCGTTAGGAAATTTCATAAAAATAAAGATGTCTGTTGAATATATCATCATGGTTCGTAGACATTTAACATTTTTTTGAAAGGTTATACTTTGAAAGAGTACTTCATTGACGATGAAGAGTTTCTTCTGCTCATTAGTCCTTGTTTGGTGGTATCTTTCACCATTACCATCTCCTTCACAAATATTCAAGTTGTTCAATCAAAAAAAAAGACTTCTTTGGGCTAAACCATTGAACGCTATGTGAGAATAGAAACGATTTCATTTCAAATGCTATCAATGGTTGTCTTTTGTAGTAGTAGGTTCAGCTTTGTTCAATTTTCAGTTAAAAACCTTCCTCAGGCGTTGAAGATCAATGACTGACCATGCCGGAGTATCAATCATATCTATAAGCAACAATAACTGTAAACTACTTTTCATTTGATATATGACTGATGTTTGCACATAATGATTATTTATTCAAGCATACTTAAAGATTCAATTTTTTATGTACGTTAGAATGCAAAGGATTCTAATGCTTAACGTAAGCTTGTTCTTTTTTCATGATTACATCAATTTATTATGATTTGTTTTTAAAACTAATATGCATCGGCTAACTCTATGAAACTATCTGCATTAATTTTACTGAATGAACTAAATCACTGTAAAATCTTATACTACAAATTAAATAGTTCAGATGAAACGTATTACCTTTACTTAATGAATAAAATTTTTACAATCAAAATGACTTCACGATTAAGTATGACACTTATATGGTTGCTAAATTATGCAAAAAAAAAATAAAAATGGCACATTGTACATCTTGTGTTTGTTTTCTGGCCTTCTTGAATTACTTCATTTTATTCATTTCTTTATCAATACGATTTAGCATTGTATCTATATGACGATTAAAATTAGCATTCTAGTTTTATCTGAACTAAAATAATATTAGACGAGAGTTAAACTGATCAAGTCAAAGGCAATTACAGTTTGAATACATAAAGAATTTATTGAACAAACTATCGTTCATATCAAATAAGTTAAATTTTTATATTGTTTTAAACCAGCGGTTCATATTTTTACACAGTTTTAGTTTAGAACGATGTATAGTCGAACAAATAACTCGTGCTTTTTTATATGAACATGGTATTTTGGCATATCTTCCTTGACATTCACTTAAGCACCTGCTTGTCAGTTCATACATAAAAAAGTGACCTGCTTCAGTCATTCTAATATTTCTTAAATGACTTGTAACACCTCATCGAAATTCAACTAATTTTAAATCAACTAAATTTTTAGCAACAATAGTGTTCTATAACTTACCATATTGACTAACTATTTCATGCGAATGTTTAATATAGATGCTAAATAAAAAAAATAGCTTTTGAAATGAGAAACAAAACAAATTCTTTATCTTTTTACACTCGCATTGTCTTTGATTTGATCAATTGAGTTCTATGTCAATACTTATGTCGGGTAGTCAAAATCCGGATTCTAATTGTGAATTAAAAATCTATCAGAATATTTGATGTCATTTTTCTTAATCATGATTCTTTCTTTTTCTCATTATAATATGTACTAATAAAATAGCTATTCTTCAGCAAACACTCAAGAGCCGAAATTTTTTTTAATTATTTGTTACCTAGTACTCATTGTTGTTCTTTTGTTTCATAGAAATTAAATGTAAAATAAATTCAATTGTTAATGTAAAGAAACTCTCATCAAAAGTCCTTTTCTCTTTGATATATGTAAGATTACAATAAAGTGCACAATGTCCTCAGGAGAAGTACTCTTATCTGTTAACTCATTCTTTTTTTTCTCTTGGCATAGAAAAATTCACAGAACTGTCAAGAGAAAAAAATCTGAGAAATATCAAGCTGTGTAATACTGATAAAGAGACAAAATAAAAAAAATTAAGAATTTCTTGAATAAGTCAATTTAATATTGATTTAAAACTGTTATAAAACTAGATCATATAAATACAAATTTACATTGTTGCATAGTTCTCGTAGTGAATGATACATAATAGAAAAAACAATAGAAATGATTGCTTGCTGTTTAGTCAATTCTTTTCTTTTTTTTTCTTCTTTTTCATTTTTTTTTGTTCTTTAAAAGATCATCTTGACAACGGTTTTTATTTACTGTTTCTATGTCTGTTAGTCAAGGTAAGATAAATTACATACATATTTATAATGATATGAAGTAGGACTTACTATCAGACCGAACAAACAACAAGACATTTTGCAGTCTACAAAGGATTTCATATAGACCTTATATATTATCATCAAATGTACATGGAATGAATTTGACAAATTTATTTTTTACATATTTGCACAAACAAGAAAGACAAAATGCATGAAAAGAAAGAAAAATCAAGTCATGTCCTTCCTTTTCTATCTCTCATTTCTTCTGAGATTTTTTTCTTTATTCAAAAAAACAATCGTTCTTTACTTCCATTTGAAATAGATAGACGCCGCTGGCATTATTTCGTTTTCAACAACTTCTGTACTTCATTATATTGAATATTTATATAGTTCGTGTATCGCAAAAAGAAAAAAAAACGCAATTTTTCTTTTCTGTACATTTATTTTTAGATTATAAAAAGAGTTAAAGTTCTTTAG